ATTTACTATGTATACAGTGTTTTATCTGCACATCAGAAGAGGACATCAGATCTCATTATAGATGGTGGCTGGGAATTGAACTCAGGACCTCTGGAAGAGCAGTCAATGCTCTTAACCTCTGAGCTATCTCTCCAGACCAACAAGTTACTTCTATATAGCTTTAAGGTATAGATTAACCTCAATGCCACTTGCCTTCTTTCTTCTTCAACATCCTTTTCTCTGTATTTGTATTTCAGATGTGTATTCAAACAAATTCTACCAACAAATGCAGCCTCAGATTATTTCAGGTGGGTCAAGGAGATGGCCCATTAGCTAACATGCTTGCTGGACAAGCATGTGGACATAAGTTTGGATCCCTAGCACCCATGTAAAATCTGAGTCATGGCTCATTCCTTTAATCCTGGAACTCTAGAGATAGAGGCAGGCAGATCTCTGTGTGTTGAAGGCCAGTAAGTTACAGCCCATCCTGGACTGCATCGTGAGACCCTGTCTTTAAAAAAGAAAAGAAAAAGCATTTACAGGAGTCTGAATTGCCTCACATATCTGTAACTCTAGAATTGGGAGGCAGAGGGCAGAGATAGGTGAATCCTAGGGCCTCATTGACAAGTCCATTATGCTAAAAAGACAAGCTTTATGTTCAGTGAAGAAACTGTTTTAACACGTAGGCTGTGGAGCAATATTGATGAAGACATACCAACACCAGCCTCCTCTGGCCTTTGCGCGCGCACATGCATGCGCACAGGCACACACACACAGGCAAGCACACACACACTTGTACACACACACACACACACACACACACACACACAAATTGTTTCAGATATCCATGATGTGTCACTGCTACATGTCATCTTTTCTCTATATTAGTCATCTGGAAATTGATGACATTCAAGACACTTTTCTGGAATACCTAGGAGACACCAGGCTGAGCATCTTCTCGGCAGTAGGCTCCCCTCTTTCTTAACTTTTATAACCTCAATGGGGAAAATTAAAATGCCCATTCTTCTTCCTGTGTCAAAGGTGGCATTTCTAGATATGAAGGAACTAAGCTAAAGGCATGTGCTAATACTAACCCTTCACTGTGTCCTCAAGAGTTATTGAGTCACTTGTGCAGATGCTTATCATACTCCCAGCTAAAGAGTCAAATCTTTGGTATATGATACCAAAAGAAGCTAAATGTATGATTTCTTAAAGCCCTTAGGAACTATTCAGTGCTTCGGTAAATTTACCACAACCTACCTACTGATCCTGAACCTTCCAGACTTAGAAACGTAAAATGAGAAAACATTACAAGTGTCTAGTATTTCTAGACACATTAGGGGTTCTGATAGGTGACTCACTGTAGAAATGTGGTCAGAACAATGCTGTCACTAATTCCCAAGGTTACCGAAATACTCAATTCTTCGTAGAGAAGGCCTGGGCTGGTTCCCCTATTATGTTCCTGTGTATTCGTGGGTCTTTTGTGAGTTATTTGGTCAGAAACAGAGAAACTAAATAACCAGAGTGCCTTACAGCTGAGCGGTCACATCAAGGCTAAAGATGATATGGCACAAGAATGATTAGGCATGATAAAGAGAAAGCCACATTTGCAGTTATAAACCCAAGTTTCTGGTAAGTGATTCGGCAGTATATGTCTTATCTGCCTCAAACCAAACTACTGACCACATCCTAAGAAGATGTGGTCAGAAGGTTCACACATGAGACCTGAGAGAGATGAGAATTTGCCACTCTAGAAGGTAAAGATGTTGAGTTCCACCTTCTAGTTTGTAGAAACAAAACACTTTTAAGGATGGAGGTGACCTTGGTGGTCAATATCGACAATCTCCAGTTTTCAGCACAAAATTACAAAGGAAACAAAGAAAGAGTAATTGTCACATAGAAGACAACTTGCATGAAATATTTTTAAGGAATCTTAGAAGTTGTAGGATTCAAAGGTTTTTAGTTTCTTTTTTCTTATTCATTCTTTCTTTCTTTTTCTTTTTTCTTTGTTTAAGACAGAGTTTCTCGGTGTATCCCTGACTGTCCTAGAACTTGCTCTGTAGACCAGGCTGGCCTCAAATTCATTGAGATTTGCCTGCCTCTGCTTCCCAAGTGCTGGGATTAAAAGCATGTGCCATTATTGCCCAGCAGTTTTTAGTTTCTTAAAAGTATTCAGAGCTAAGGGAAACTTTGAGAAGGAACTAAAGGGAGTTGGTAACAAAATATGAAAAAAGTAAAAATTGTTTATAAACACGTTAAAGTTTTAACATTGCAAAGGACAATAACTAAGATGGACTCAACAACAATCGAGCAGAGGGAGAAATCAGTGAAATTCATGCTGTAGTTGTGGCTCAGCAGTTAAGAGTGCTTATTGCTCTTGCAGAGGACTTCAATTCATTTCCAAGCATCCACATAATGAGACTCACAACTGCCTATAACTCCAGCTTCAGGGGACCCAACACCGTTTCTTGTCTTCCACAGGCACTGCATCCGGTACACACACACACACACACACACACACACACACACACACACACACACACACACACCTCCTATATAAATACAGCCTGCTGAGACCACTTTGTGTTGCTTGTAAGAATAAGTTTATGGTTGACCAGTTGGATCTAGATAACATACCAGGAGGTTTACCCCCAGAGAAGATTGATTCTCCTTCACTGAACAGCCAGTAATTGACTATAGCTCTTTATCTAGGAGAGGGGCTCTATGCTGTCCCCCATCCACACTAGAATGCCAACTGGTGTTGTCATTGTGCAGGTCTTATTCAGGCAGCCGTCTTATTTAGATTTCATGGATGCAGCATCCTTGCTGAGTCTGAAAGACACTATCTTTCAGCAGACCTCCTAGACCTCTGGTTCTTAAGATCTTTCTGCCCCCTCTTCTGTGGTGTTCTAGGAACCTTGTGAATAGGAATTGTGTTGTGGATGTATCAGTGGGGATGGGCACCCCACAGTCAGTTGTTCTCTGCATTCTGACCAGTGTATAGACGTCTGTAATGTTCTCCATCTGCTGCAAACAAAGCTTATTTGATGAGGAGTGAGACATACACATATCTGCGATGTGAAGTTTGTTACATAGAACACGGTGGGTTAATTGCACTGGTTTAGGAAAGTGTCAGTAGTAGGTTCTCTTCTACTGGGGTCCGTTACCTCACAGTCACAGGCAGGTTGAATAGGTTTCTAGTATCAGGCATGAACTCCTTCTACTGAGTGGGTTGTAAGTCTAATTGGACAGCTGTTAGTTACCTCCAGGATGGGAGTGTCACTATTGGACCCTTGGGTATCTCTTGCTGTGGTTTTAGAACTAGGTAGGACTATTAATTGCTGTTTGCATTGTTAGCTTGCATAGCACATTCAGTTTTTATGAGAGCTGGTCCTCAAGGAGAGGACTTCCAGGTCAGTTCCAGTTCCTCCAAGTCCTACATCAAAACTGTATGCTGTGTTCAAAGATTTTTATTTTTCTGCTAAGAAACTCTTTGTATGAGGGAAGATTTTCTTTACTAAAATCTGATGATTGTTTTTCTCTTAGGAAAGACCAACTTAAAGTACCTTTGACTTTGTATGGTTTGCTTTCATTCATCAACAATGATTTGAAATAAAACCAAAGAGATGAGGACTTTAAAATTCTGTCATGGTGTGACTCTGCAGTCTCTGTGACTCGATACATTGATAAAGATGACATTATTGAGAATGTTCAGAATATGAGTCAAAACCATTGTCTATTGTGGTATTATAGTGGAAATGATGGGCTTTTTGATGCTTTGTTGTATTATATGAGAAAATCATTGCTGTTTCTAATGCTGGAATGAATTGATTTGCCTCTGTATCATGAGTTGATATTTTGGTTCCATGGTTCCTTTGTTATTACAAGCCAACTTTTAATGAATATCTATCGATATTTAATATAAAGGACATTTATTTATACTAAATAAATATTTTTCATTTTCTGGGCAGAATATAAAAAATACTAAGAGGAAGTTGGGGAAACAGCTGGTAGGTACAATGCTTGTCCTACAAGCATGAGGACCTGTGTTCCATTCCCAGAACCTACATGAAAAGCTGAGTGTAGTGATAACACCTAAAACCTGGGCTCCAGGGAGATGGAGACAGCCAGGTTAGCCTAATCACCAAGCTAAGTGAGAGACTGTGCCTCAAAACTCAAAGCGGACAATACCTGAGAATGACTCCCAAGGTTTACCCCTGCCTACATACACACATGTAGACATGTGCGCGCGCGCGCGCACACACACACACACACACACACACACACACACACACACACACAGAGAGAGAGAGAGAGAGAGAGAGAGAGAGAGAGAGAGAGAGAGAGAGAGAGAATTGTTGAGTTTTAGCAGCCTGGTTTGCTTTCTTATGTTATACTATATTAGCAATTCAGTGATCTGACAATCCTTGGGGAAACTAGACCTTTCCCAACCTTAGTTCACAGGTTTGCTGGGACAAATGTTAGCCTCCCTGAAGAAGGAGAAATGACTCAGGCTTTGGTCACTCAGTGGTTCAACTATCAGAGCCTGCAGCAATCTCTTATTTTTGGTTAATAAATGTCAAATGTGGTTTTTCATAAGAAAGGGCTTTGTCACATGGAACTTTTAAAGCAATGGTGACAAATGGGTTGACAGGTGTTTGGTAGGCCTCTGTGTTACTGCCTTGTCCATCACTCTAACCATTGTCCTCCCCAAACTGTACTCTATTCATGGATGCCTCTGGTTACATCCCACTAAGTGGTCAGCTCACGCTTAGTTCTAACAAGGGAAGTGTCTAAATGCACATCTGTCCTTATGGACTCTACAGTGTGACATTGAAAGCACTGATGTTCCACCACTGAGAACTTGGGTTTCTGGGACTCTGATACCATACCCTACTAGCCCCACCCTCTACCATTGTGTTCCTGTCAAGGGCTGTAACTGGTGGCTCTCTGAGTCATTGGCTGTGGGTTCTGTGGTGGTTACTTCACGATTCTCACACACCACTCAGAAAACGTCACCAGGCAGAGGCAGTAAGGGTGAGGCTTTCATAGAAAGCCCTGTGAAGAAGCATCATAAAAACAGAGGGGTCACAAGTTCGCCGAGCCCACTCTACCTCCTTCATCTCCTAGAGGTTAAAAGAGAGCGAGGGCAAAGCCCCAGACGCTGGGACCTACTCAGCCTTCCAGAGAAGATGAAGCTCCTGCTGCTACTGCTGGCTTTTTCTCTGCCCCCCCGGACAAAGGCAGGTGAGTGAGCAACACTTCCCTTAGTGGCCTGACCATGCTGTCACCAGTGTTCTTCTCAGGAAGAACGTAGAGCGCTAACCCCTCCCTGAGCCATATCTTGTCATCTGGAAAGTGGATTTTCCTAGAAGTCCATGGTAAAGGGTAGGAACCTGCAAAGCAGAGAACATTATGTTCTCCTGGGGCAGACAGAATGGGCCTGGCTTCATCTATGATGATACAGGCACTCTCTTACCAAGTACTTGTCAAAGAAACCTCCATCCCAGAATAGATGAAAATGCCATGCTCGGAATGAGTGCTTTTGCTGAATTCCAAGCCACTAGGTCTTCTCCTCCAACACTGAGCTTCCCTGGCTCTTGGTGGTCCCAACAGTGTTCAAACCTGAGCCACAAACTTGTGCTGCTTCCTAGGATGCCAGACTCTGAATCTGGGAATGAATGGGGAGTCATCACCCATGAAGCCAATCATCTTTGTTGAGCACCTACTACATGCTAGGTCAGAAGAAATAGGATGCCACAAAGTATAAACTAAAACCTTGTCCCCTAGAAAGCAGCACTGTCCCAGGCATCACAGTGCTGGGGAGAGGGACATGGTTAGAAACGTCTCTAGGAACAGAAGTCAGGGACAGGCATGATGAGTCCTAAGCATTTCCTTGCTCAGAGACTTAGGCTATTCCAGCTATGTGGAAAACAGATTGGTAGACCAAGACCTACTTGTCTCTCCTTTTTGAGAAGGGGAACTTAAAGGCTCTCCTCTCAGCCTGCTCTTAACTCCAGGTCTCCCTGGCTCCAAAATGCCTAACAAGTCTAGAAGACAAAATCTATCTGGTGGACTAGTAGGGGCATACAAAAAGGCTGGCTTTTCCTTCAGAGGAGATCATCGGGGGACATGAAGCCAAGCCCCACTCTCGTCCCTACATGGCTTATCTTCAGACCATGAACCAGGGTATTCCGAGAAGGTGTGGTGGCTTCCTTATACGAGAGGACTTTGTGCTGACAGCTGCTCACTGTTTAGGGAGGTAAGGAGCAAGAAAGAGTCCAGGACCTCCTGAGGACATTACACAGAGACCCTGCCTTCTTCCTAAGGGGCTTGGGATGAGAGAGGGCCCAGCAAATCTCATGAGGGAGAAGTAGGTTGGCACCAGAGTCCCAGCTAAGAAATCAAGCACATTTACACAGGGGTTAGCATTGCGGTACAAACCAAATAACACAGGGTGCTTTATTAGCGTACTGACCCTGGACACCTCTGGTGCAGATACTGGTACTGCAGAATCCTATCTTTTTTTTTTTTTTTTTTTTTTTATGGCTAAGTAGCATAGTCACTCCTGTTCCCCAAGTTCCCTCAGCTAAAGCACTACCATGTGGTCCTTCACACCTCATGGGCTGCATCCTCTCTGACTCTGCATCTCTTGCCCTCTGCAAAGCTCAATAAATGTCACTTTGGGGGCCCACAACATCAAAGAACAGGAGAAGACCCAGCAGATCATCCCTGTGGCAAAAGCCATTCCACACCCTGACTATAACCCTCAGAAGATCCTCAATGACATCATGTTGTTAAAGGTGAGAATGGCTGTTCCTCCCTGTCATCCTGGTTTTCAGAGTGTCCCAGGCCAGCAGGCTCCTGGCTAACCTATTTTTTTCTTGCCTCTTCCCCAACAGCTGAAGACAAAGGCCAAGAGGTCTAAAGCTGTGAGACCCCTCAACCTACCCAGGCGCAAGGTCTATGTGAAGCCAGGTGACACGTGCTATGTGGCTGGTTGGGGAAAGTTGGCCCCACGGGGCAACTTGGCAAATACACTACAAGAGGTGGAGCTGACCGTGCAGAAGGATCAGGAGTGTGAGTCCCAATATCCAGATGTTTACAACAAAGCTGTTGAGATATGTGTGGGAGACCCAAAGGTCAAACGGGCTTCCTTTAAGGTAAGTTTGATTGCCATCAATTATGGGCTCCATGGGAGGGAACCTAGAGACAAGCATCAAGGGACTCCTTGGCTGGGATCTTTCATCCTGGGAACAGCAGACACCAGTCACTAACTATGGCCTCATAGCTGACCAGGAGTCTCTGTGGAGGCAGCTGGTATAGGAGAATGGGCAGAGTCCTCCTGACACCCAGGCCCAGGCTGTAGAAAGCTTGCTCCCTGTGTGTCATCACTGCAAAGAGCAGGCACCCACATTGGTCAGTTGTCCTGTCCTCCATGCTCAGATCAGGCCCACTCACCTGTCCCTGGGCTCTTACACAACAGCCTGGAGATGAGGGTCCCACACAGTTTCACACAGAGTGGATCACAGACCTGGAGAAAGGGCAGAGCTGGGCTCAGGAGGGAGGTGAAGAAATAACTCTGTCTACAATCAGAGCAGGTATCCATGCACCCAGGCCTGCCCTCTGATCCCCACAAACCGAGCACTCAGGCACACTTCTGGGAGATGGAGGGTTAGGGTGAAATCAGCTCAGACTCCTGTGGCAACTCTGCATTCACAGGGAGATTCTGGAGGGCCTCTCGTGTGTAAGAAAGCAGCTGCAGGCATTGTATCCTTTGGACACAGTAATGGTTCAACACCAAGAGCCTTCACCAGGATCTCAAGTTTCCTATCCTGGATAAAGAAAACGATGAAACGCAGCTAACGATGGAGCAAACCAGACCCCTCCCTGATTCACCATCTTCCCTAGGCTGAGTCCAGGGCTGCCCTAGGACAGAAGCCAGAAACTCAATAAAGTCTCTTTCTTTGTGGAATCACAAGACTGGTTTCCTGTCTATTCGTGCAGACCAACTCTGTGCTAGCCGGCCAGTGGCACACTTCTGCTGTCTGCTCACCCAACATCATACACACCCCACATCCCAAAGTTCAGGCTAGGCCATTGCCCAGATCATTTATACTTGTCAAACTCTCCAGTGTCTGCATTTGTGACAGGCCTGAAGCTAAGCACCTTCAAGAGAAAATTTGGGCATCTCTACTCTCGGTATCCAGGGCGAACTTTTCCCCTCTGCGCCATGCAGAGGAGAGGAGAGGACAGGGAAAGCACCCTTGGTCTGGGGACCTGAGACACAGAGCTGAGGTCACTGTAGATGGCCTCCTGGGCACAGGATCTCTGTCCACAGTTCCCCATTAAGGTGACAGCTCTTTCAGAAAGGGCTGTTCCACATCTAGGACGAGTTTCCCTATGCTCCTGTGGACACAGGGCCAGCTTCCTCAGGCTTCCTAGCTGCACCCCCTTCTCCTCATGCCTGCTCAGGTGAGTCTATCAGCTTCTGTGCTTGACAGTCCAGTAGATCTGAGCCTGTGCCAGCTTCTTATCCACCTGTCTAGGACACCCAAATCCACACGTGCTTCTGTTCAACAGGGCTTAGCCCTGGGGTGCCAGAGCAATTTAGGCACTGGCAGAGGGGTACTGCTTAAATGTGGAGGCCAAAAGTGACATCAGAGAGCATCCACATAGGCCAGGACAGGCAGTGCCTCTCTCCAGAGCCCTGCACACCTCTCAATGCTCTTGCCTAAGAAGCTCCTCCAAGTCATTATTGGTTTGAAGAGAAATCTCACACTAGGGAAATGTCCAGAGATCTGTAAGGATGACCCCAATTAATAATCTAAGCAATAGTGAAGATGCTACCTTAAATGCCCTTCTCTGATAATGAGACTGATGACTCCCTTATATGCCATCCTAGAGCCGTCATACAGTAGCTGTTGGAAGCAGAAGCAGACATCCACGGCTAAACCGTAGTCGAACTCCTGGAATCCAATTGCAGAGAGGGAGGAGTGATAAGCAAAGGGGTCAAGACCAGGCTGGAGAAACCCACAGAAGTAGCTGATCTGAACAAGGGGGAGCTCATGGACCCCAGACTGATAGCTGGGAAACCAGCATAAGACTGACCCCTTGAACATGGTTCTCAGTTAGGAGGCCTGGGAAGTGTATAGTCCTCTGACTATGGAACCAGGATGTATTCCTAGTGCAGGAAAGGACTTCAGGTTCCCATTCCCCATGGAGGGATACTCCCTTAGCATAGAGACCTGGCGGAGGGCCTAGGCCTTCCCCAAATGATTTTTAGGATCACTCATGGAAGTCCTCACCCTCCCTGGGGAGTGGATGGGGGATGGGATGGGTATTAGTGGGCATGGGAAGATGGGAGAGAGAGGGAACTGGGATGGATATGTAAAATAAGAAAAAAATATTAAATAAAAAAAAAAAGAAGCTCTTTCCTAGTCAGCTCAGTCCCCTATGTGCTCAGCATCCAGAACACAAGGCCAGTCAGCAGCATGAGCCACTCTGAGGATGCTCATCTTAGTCATTGGCTGCCACTAGGCTAAGATGCCCTGCTGGTCACCTGAACTGTGTTAATTTTTGATGACCATAGTGGAAAGAAACAAAACAAAACAAAACAACAACAACAACAACAACAAAACAAAGACAAAACCAAACAAACCTAGAAATACCTACTTTTCATCAGTCAGCTCTGAAGTGTATGAGGTTTAGAAATGACTTTAGGCACTTAGCTTCTATTTGGAAAACTACTGAGAAAATCAACCTTTTTTCCCCTAGGAGAGAGGGCAATTGGTAGAGAACAACATAACTAAGAGGGCCTCGTTGTATTTATTTTAAAGGTAACATACAGAGCCATTATGCAGACTTAAGTCAAAGAGATTCAGGAGCATAATTCAGAAACAGTTAAACATCGAATCAAGGAGGCTGGAAAAAACAGAAATATTTTAAAAATAGTAATGAGAAATACCTGTAATATTTAGACATTTTTGGTTACTGCTGCCTCCATAGTTCCTAAGACAACTTGGCTTCTCATTGTTAGGAGGTTGTTGGCATGAGACTGTAGCCAGAATGTGTGGATTTTTGTTAAATTAAAAATTTCCCTGTGTTGGTCTCTCATTGCTAAGAAAATCCAAGCTGCCAGGCATTGTTTTTCATACCTTAATCTAGCACTGGGAAGCAGAGGTAGGCAGATATCTGAGTTCAAGGCCAGCTAAGGCTATGAGAGAGACTGTCTCAAAATGAACAAACCAAAACTTTCTTAAATTAACTTAAATAAATTTAGAGTTTTAAGCATCCTTGGCTCAGAGTTTTGTCCTGTCAGACACTTAACAGATAACCTGACTGGTAGGTTTAGCTTATATTTCCCTGTCACAAACAGACACAGCATCACATTCTTCTGGGAGAAGTCAAATCTCCCTTTGGGTCAGGAAACCTTCAAAGACACACTTTTATATAGGAAGAGATGTAGGTTGCACACAGTTTCTGACAGGGAATTGGAAAACAAACCATGCCTGGAGATACACTAAGGACGTGGCTTCTTTGGACACAAAAAAACACAAGAAGAATGCAAAATCAAAGAAACATGTATGGACTCTAGTCGGTACACCACCCAGAGTCTGCCTTCTCCTCACCCTTGGTCCTGCTGGGCACATAGCTCAGGGTGAGCATTGAGCCAGAGTGTGGGTCCAACAAACCCTCCACCTCCTTGGAACTTCCTGGGTCTGCTCTGAGCATACTGGACACGCCTATCGAAGCAGGACCTCCTTGAGCATGCACTCACCTGATCTTTGGGTTTGGGTCCTATTGCCTGCTCTCTGCCTGAGGTGAGTCTGGGACCAGTTCAGGCCTAATTCCCCCCACATCCTTCCCTGGGAACTCCCTGGGTTAGCTCTGCATCTCTGTCCCCCATAACCTAGCCCTGAGTGGTACAGTCCTGGTATTCTGCTTCATATACCACCTAGAACCTGCCTTTCCCTCCACCTTGGTCCTGCTAAGTTCACGGCTTGGGATGAGCATTGGGCCAGAGTGAGGGTCCAACATCCCCTCTACCTCTGTGGAACTTCCTGGGTCTGTTCTGAGCACACTGGACCTGCCTATCCACATGGGACCACCTTGAGGCTGCACTCACCATATCTTTGAGCCTCATCGCCTGCCCTCTGCCAGAGAGAAACCTCCAAGAGAGCTCAAATCACTCAGAGTTACAGACATCGAACTCCTGACCCACCTACACCCACCAGGAGAGCAGGGTAGAGAGAGAGAGAGAGACTCCACCTGCACCCACTGGAAGAAGTAATGGGAAGACAGCAATACAAGAAAACAACCAATAATAGAAAGACCAGTGTAACACCACCACAGTCTCTGGACTCTACACCAACTAGACCTGAACACACCAAAGCAGATGAAGCAGAAAAGAACGACTTAAAAAAAAAAAAACAACTTTATAAAAATGATAGAGGCCCTCAAGGACCATATGAGAAAATCTCTTAAAGAAATGGAAGAAAAAACAATCAGAAAATTGGAATAGAGAAAAAGACTAAGCAAAAATGCAAGGAATGAAAAATCTCTTAAAGAAAGTAAGGAAAGCCAAGAAAAAAACAATCAAATAGTTGAAGGAAACAACTCAAACAGTTCAAGATTTGAAAACTGAAATAGAGAGAAAAAACAAAACAAACAAACAAACAAAAAAACAAACAAAAAAAAAAACCCACAAACTGAGGGAATGCTGGAAATAGAAAAACTGGGCAAACAATCAGGAACTACAGATGCAAGCATAACCAACAGAATACAAGAGATAGAAGAGAGAATCTCAGGTGCTGAAGATAAACTAGAGGAAATAAAATCATCGACCAAAGAAAATCTTAACTCAAACAAATTCTTAACACAAAACATCCAGGAAATGTGGGACATATTGAAAAGGCCAAACCTAAAAATAATAGGCATAGAAGAAGGCAAAGAAGCCCAGCTCAAAGGTACAGAAAACATATTCAACAAAATCATTGAAGAAAACTTTCCCAATCTGAAGAAGGACATGCCTATGAAAGTACAAGAAGCATACCAAACACCAAATAGACAGGACCAAAGAAAAAAGATCCCTCGACATATAATAATCAAAACACCTAACTTACAGAATAAAGAAAGAATATTAAGAGCAGTGAAAGGAAAAGACCAGGTAACATATAAGAATCAAAGGATGCCAACCCAGGCTACTACACCCAGCAAAACTCTCAATCACTATAGACAGAGAAAACAAGATATTTAATGACAAAGCCAAATTTTCACAATACATATTCACGAATCCAGCCCTACAGAAAGTTCTGGAAGGAAAATTCCAACCCAAGGAAATTAACTACACTCACAAAGACATAGGCAACAGATAATCCCACTTCACCAGAACCCAAAAGAAAAAGCAGGACAAATATACTCACAATACCACTGCCAACAACAAATCTAAAACAAACAAAAATTAACAATCAATGGTCCTTACTTTCCCGCAACATTAATGGTCTTTAACTCACCTATAAAAAAACACATGCTAACAGAATGGATATGAAGACAGAATCCATCCTTTTGCTCCATACAAGAAACACATCTAATCTTCAAAGACAGACATTACCTCAGGGTAAAGGGTTGGGAAAAGATTTTCCAATCAAATGGACCCAAGAAGCAAGCAGGTGTAGCTATCCTAATATCTAACAAGTTAGACTTCAAACCAAACTCAATCAAAGAGATGAAGAAGGTCATTTCGTATTCATCGCAGGAGAAATCCATCAACACAAAGTCTCCCTTCTGAACATCTTTGCCCCAGATACAAAGGCATCCACATTCGTAAAAGAAACACTACTAAAATTCAAAGCTCACATAAAACCTCACACACTCATAGTGAGAGACTTCAACACCCCACTCTCACTGCTAGACAGGACCACCAAATAGAAACTTAAGAAAGAAACAAAAGAACTAACAGAAGT